CCTGTTTGTTTCATGCAAAGCTGTCTGCACTCACCTGGCTTCCAAGTCCTGCGGATAGTTCCCTGAATGTTATGCAAATTCATTCTCAGACTTCTAAAATATTCTCAGTGTTGTGGCATCTAAAATATTTTAGGTCATACGTTTTTACCAAATTAAAATAAAAGGTAAATGTTTATATAAAGTTTCACTTGCCTGAATCCAAAAGTACTTTCATTAGAAATCCTAAGCAGCTTTATATACTAGGCAGTAGTCTCTGGTAAGCTAAGAAGAACATATCCAAATAAAACTGCAATTTTAGAATTAATGATTGAAAATTTTTAGACGTAAGTTAAGTTCTCAGTTCCTTAAAGCCAATTAGCTCTCCCAGGCTCTACATGATATCTGCTATGGAGAAGACACTGTGCCGGGGACTATGGCAGAACCCATAGATAAATAAACTGTCGTTTGGGAACTTACAATCAGCAATGGAAACACATGCGTTCAACTTCCTAAGCTAGAAGGCAGAAGATGATAGATGCTTGTGCAGGAAGAGGTTAACTCAGGAGGCCTGGGTTCCTCAAACTCTGCACATTCCCCAAAGAGGCCTATTTTCAGGACTGGCCTTTGGCTGACTCCTACGAACTAGACACTGAGTCCTTAGAATGTTCTGCGTGGTAAGAGTGTCTTTGTATGCTTGAAGCCTTGGGTCATGCTCTACCAATTTGACCAGATAATTTAAGCCAACAATGTGATTTATCATAAGCACTCACTTTTGGTGTGTATCAGGCTTGGGTATGAGTAGCTGAGGTCAGGCACATGGGTGTTGTGTGCCTATGTTGGCTTGACCTCCGACCAAAATCTGGGCACGCGGGCTTCCCTGGTTGGCAACACTTTGCATGTGTTGTCACTTATCCTTGCTGAAGAGTTAAGTGCATCCTGTGCAACTCCACTGGGAAAAAACACCTGGAAGCTTGTTCTTATTTCGCCTGGGTTTTGCCCTAAGTGCATTTTCCTTTGCTGATCTTAATTGATAGCCTTTTGCTGTGATATTATAAATCATAACTGAAAGGTGGCGTCTGAGTCTCGTGCATCCTTCCAGCACATCGTTAAGCCTGAGGTTGGTCTTGGAGACTCCTGATGCACAGCGCTATATAAGAAAAGCAAATCATGGAGCTGTGGGGGTCCCTTTACCCATGAACAAGGTGGTCTTTCAAGGCATCAGCCCAAGTGTGAGATATAACTCAGTGGGTCACACATGCATTCACATATGTTATTTTTCTTACACAACCATCTGATTTTGCATCTCCTTTGATTAAAAGGAATCATTCTTAAAGAGTGCATTTTGGACATTTTAAATGTGGCTTCGATTTCTATTCCCAGCTTCACATCTATTGCTTCCCTCAGCTCATACCTCTGTTATTGTATCACATTCCCTGTGTCTCGGGGGACATGTCCAGATCCTCGCTTGGAATCTTCCTTTTGCTCTGAATGTCCTCTCTTCAGCCCTTTAGAGCCCCTGCCCCTACTTGTTTAAATGGCTTCCTCACACCCGAGTCGCTGGGCTCTAATGTTTTCTCCTTGGAAGTGGCCCCATACGTCACCAGGTAGCAATGAACACTCCCTTCCCGGAGCTCATGGCTTTGCCAGTCCATGCACAGTTACACACAGCAATCATTATATTGTTTTGTTGGATGTTGTCATGTCTTTTTCCCCTACAATCTGTGAGCTCCTATGTGCCAGGCTGAGCATGATTGAGATCTCCATTCAAACTGTCTAGTGTGGTGCCCACCACCAGTAGTTACTAACGCGGTGTTTATTACATGAAGGGACCTGCACCTGGACTAAGGAAGAAAGACACTGGGCCCCAGGAAGATGTCAAGGATGATGGTTTCATCAGGACCACTGACCACTTACTGAGTGTTTGATACGGGCAATGTGAACTGTACCCAGCCCCGTGATGCCGGTAAACAGCCACAGTGAGAGAAATCCTCCCAACCTATTGTGTTCCAGAGAGGGCTTCCTGCAAGGAACTATACTTCCCCATGTGACTTGGATAAGACTCTCAGATGATCCCTTTTTACCTCTGACAAGGCCAGACACAGACCCTTCAAATTCCCATTTTTTACCTTGTAAATGATCAGCTGAACTGTGCCCACTGACCAAGTGGAACAAATTTGTTAACCAAACTTTAGCTACATTTCTTTTCTCTCCTTAGGCCCGTGAGCTTTGGCCCATCCTCAGCCAGGTCCAGCATTCAGCAGCCCTCCTGCAGGGCCCTCCTGGGGATGGGCTGACCTCAGCCTAAACCTTCTCTGTCTACCGTCTGGTTACGCCACCTCACTGGTCCGTCTTGTCCCCCCATTTCCCCACACTTGGTTCTGTCCAGCCATGTTTACTCTTCTTTCTAGGAGAAAACCCCTCTGGGCCTAGGTCTTGGAGCACTTGTAGGTCTCATGGTCAGAGTGTTCTTGTTATTGCAATAGTTCCATCCTCTACTGAAATAGTCTCCCCCTGCCCCTTGCAATTATCCTTTTAAATAAAGCCTCTCCTTAGCAATGTCTATATTTTGTTTTTATTTGATAATACCCTCTGGTTGACTGGAAAATTCTTTGTATATAAGCATGTTCATGCCTCCTTATTTATGCATAAAATAAAGTGCCTGTGATTCTCAATGCCTTGTTTGCATAAATTCTAATAATTCATTTCCTGAATTCAAAGAGCATTCATCCATTTACCTCTAAACCTGATGAGTTTACTTGTGGTTTACTTGAGTCTAGGTTGGTTTATTCTCAGGTTTGAAGGGTCCTTATGTGTCTTGTGCCTCTTTTTCCTGTCCCCCTGACTTCATGTAAAGGCCACATGCCATGAGCCCTGGGTAGGGGATGCCTGGTTTTCAGGCTCCTACTGGGATTCTCTAGACTAGAGGCTGCAGGCTCCTCCTCCTGTGCATTGACACCTTATGAGTGTCAAGTCCCGTTTCTTCAGTGCATTATTTACACCCGTGGTCCTCAACCAGTGATGATTTTGCCCCTTACGGGATGTTTGGCAATTCAGGGAGATATTTTTGGTTGCCACGCTGGGAGGAGGCAGTTGTTGCTTCTAGTGGGTAGTGCCCAAGGATGCTGCCAAGCACCCTGCAATGCACAGGACAGCCCCTGTAACAGAGAATTGTCTGATCCCAACTGTCAATAGTGCCAAGGTGGGGAAACAGTGATTTTCACAAATTTTACAGACTTGGTAAGTCTTAACAAACTTAGTCAAAGAAAATTTACTTATTCAAAAATTGAAAGCGGAACAGCAAAATCTGTCTAAGGGATGTATCTATCGTCCTCTGATCACACCACGACTAATTTTTCTATCACGTGTTTAAAGCTCTTGGAGAAAAAATGATCAATAGTTTGGCAACAGAAATTTATTGATTAGTTTGCAACGTTAGGTACAACATAGATAACTTCATCACATGGTTACAATCTAGTATTTGTGCTTTGTAAGATAAGTAAACATTTATTCGAGCACAAGAAAAGTTTAAACAATATTCTGGGACTGTTTAAAAAATAAATATATCATTTTCTATTTTTTAGCACAAAGAAGCACATTTTAGTTTGAGATGATGGATATATTTTAAAATTTGACATTTGGTTAACGTATCAAATTAAACATAAAACCTAAATTTGGACTATTTGTGTAATAAATGACTAATGAGCACTGGGAAAGATTCGTGGGGTGGGTCGGGGGAGGAAGTATAGCTTAGGAGGGAGCTTTCTTGGCATTTCAAGATTTGGATGGTAGATCAGATGAGGCCAGCATTGATGCTGTGGGGTCTTGTTCACATTTAAAATTACTTCATGATCTTTAAAAACAGAATAAAAGTATAGTATTTCTGGAAATCCTTAATAAACACATCTTTGATCAAGAAAATAAAAGTCAGTGTAGTTCATTTAGTTGGAAGGAAAGAAGACTTATTAGTGATACATTTAGATACCTTTATTTTCCAAAAGAGTAAATCTCTATTATTAAAATACTTAACATATGATAAAGTCTTCTTTCCCCCAAATTGAAGGCTAATATCTTTGAGTCAGGGACAGTCTGTGATTCTAACTGGCCATGTCAAACACAAGGCTATTACCCTGCTTCCATCATTATAAATGTTGTTGGAGTAGCACGTCTGCCCTACAGGAACCAATACATTTATAATGAAACAAACCACTGAGCTCAGTGTCAATATATGACTTTAGACATCAATCTCTTCGTATTTTATGAAGCTCTAAGCTAACTCAATATATTATTTAAGATAACAATCTCTTCATAATTTACAATAAAATAAAGTGAAAGTTTATATTTTATCTATTTCAAGACACAAGCAGATTTAATCTCAAAAGATTTTTTTTTTTTTTAAGTAATAAAGCTTTCCGTGAGGGTAAGAATTCTGTAATCACGTTACCCAAGTAATACAGTGATGGAAACAAGACAACCTTCAGTATCCCTCTCCCTCAGCTGAATGCCAACAGGTTTCTGGCTAGCTAGGAGCCCAGATATTATAGGGAAGAAGTGAGATATTTATCAGTGGGTTGCAGTGAATAAATAATCACCTCCATAGAGGACATTGATATCCTTTCATTAATATCCACTGATACTGGTCTGAAAGTGGAAATCTTTTATATAAAGGCTTGGGGATTTCTTACCCATATCTTAAGTATTTCCCTGGACTGGCAGCCCCTTAATATGCTCAGAAAAGTAAAATATAGGTTACAGCATAGTTTATAAATTATTTTGACCAATGAGTTTATTTTCAGTTAATTTACCTAATTGCAGACATTACGGATCCTTTTGTATGGTTAAACATAAGTGAGTGTAGCTTTCCTGGAGTGTAGGCCTCATAATGAGCAAATTTCTCTTTTTCCAGCTCTTCTAATGAAAGCTCTTTGGAACTTACCCACAAGTTGTATGGATTTTGATGGACCAATATTTTGCTTTTCCTTAGATTTATTCCATGTGCAGTGAACTTGAGTAGCAGATTTTTTATAGCTCTGCTAATGTGATGTGATGTTTTGAGAACGTTTAGAGCATTTACAACAAACCACTGTAATATAAGCTGGAATAAAGGGAAGGAATGCTCTACAGGGAAGTCTGCCTTATCCCAGCTCCAGGAGCCAGTCAAAGAGACTCAGGCTCCCATCCTTCCGCTCCTCATGCATTTTGCAGTACTGGACAACAGCGTGAAAGATATCCCCCACTTTCCAGGACTTCTGATGAACCAGCCGCACGACATCTAGAAACTAAAATAAAACACAGCGTTAGGACTCATGGATCACAGAGGGTCTTCAAAGTCATCTCATTCAACCATGCTTCCAAAGCTGATGGCTCTCTAGTCTATGTTTGACCATCTCTGGTGTCAGGGGACTATTTTCCAGGATCGTCTATTTTCTTTTTAGACATTTCAGATTATTGAAGAGTTCCCTCAATGGAACTGGACTCTTCTTCACAGCAGTTGCCATTCATTGATTCCAGGGGACTAGATGGAACAAGACTAATTCTTCCTCCAACCGTCAGTCTTTTAGATATTTAGTGTTTTCTTGGGTCTGTTTTTCATATATCATGGGTCCCAATCCCTTCTATCTCTATCACAAATAATATCTCATTGGATGTGTGCCTTTAGGCCAAATAAATCAAATGCTGAACTTTTAGGTAGGGCTACCTGTTGGTTCCTCATTCCCTCTTGAGAAGCAGCCCCCTTGCCTTCCATGCTAAGATCGAGCATCAAGAGAGGCTGGCTTTCCATAGACACAGGGGCAGGAAAAATGGAGGGAACACCCCAGATTTGTCACCTGGCTATTGATACCAGCTTCAACCGGCCCTAGAGAGAAAGTTCTGGACTACAAGTGAATTGTGGGCTTTGAGGAATAGAAGATGGGGAGCATGATTATAGGGATTATTCTCGTCATGAAACTGTGTGATGAAGGCCAGCGTGAAGGCCTCTCAAACTCCTTAGTCAGATACTTTTTAAGGGAAGTAACAACTAATGAGAGCCAGGAAGTGCAGGAAGTTCTTTAACACATGGAATCTCATTCAATTCTGTCACAACCCTGTGAAGTGGGCATTGGCAGATGGAAAAGTCGGGGGCTTGAGAGATGATAAATTGACAATAGGAACGTGGTGTTCTAACACTCCAGCACAGTGCTCTTTCTACCATAACACCTTTCTACGTTTTGGCGGCAGGAGAACATAGAATTGATGTTTATTTGGAGACTGGGGGAAAGAATAGGCTGGGAATATGGTATCATTTTATGAAGAAGAAATTCTTATTTGTTAAAAACATGAGGACTGTGGTTCAATTACTATTTCTTCATTGTTCCCTTCTAGGATATTTTTAAATCTAAGATTTTATTTTTCTTTTAAATCAAGTGTTCTTATTGCATTTGTTTGCTGAGACATTAGAGATCAGCCAGAAATGGGAATGCTAACATCCTTCCAGTTTGAATTTGTTAATTTGTTTCAATTATGGAGAAGTTGTCTTACAGAGATCCACTGTTAAATTATGTTTCTTCTCCCAGCTGTGATGGCACCAACTACTCGCACAATTACAGAAATCAGTGCATTATTGTACTCGCTCGCCTTGTATTGACTTAATCAAAATGAAGTAATTTTCTAGGCTGGAAAATGACATACTTAACTTTTAATACCTAGAAACATAAACATTGTCTTAAAGAGTTTTAGGATGCTGTGAAAAGGGAGCCAGATGGAAGGCAGATGGCAACCACAGATAGTAATCTCTGCAGGGAAGGACAACATCTTAGCCATATTTTCATATCTCATGCTTGCACATAGTAAATGCTCAATGAATATTTGCTGAATATCAGAATGGATGGGAGACCAAATGTGAGTCAAATGTATTCAAAGTTCTCAAGAGGCCTGTTTGAAACATGGATGGACATCTAGTATCATTGAGAATGAACCTTCACTAAGTGTTCATTTTTGAGTTTTAGGTTGTATATTTGTACATAGGAGAGTCTCTCACTGTGGTGATGACCAATTGTGGTGTGCCAATTGACACAAAGTTGTCAAAAACCCCACCAGGTAGGCCACTGTGCCA